CAATAATAGATTATTGTTTTTTATTTAAAAATTATTTTTTACCAAAAAAGTATTACACGCGCTTTTAGTTGAAGATAATAAAATCAAGACCTTCCCCCCGGGGGGGACCTTCAAGGCAACCTACACACACCTTCAATGCAACACTGAGAGGAAGAGAAATGCCAACTTCATGATAAGGAAAGGGGGAAAAAAACTACAGAGGCTGAATTGAAAGGGGAAAAAGATCTAAAGAGACAGAAGTATTAACTGATCAAACTACAACTTCTGCAGAGAACTTAAATTCGGAATGATGGATTCAGATCCCTCCGCTATTGGTGGGCTTCCGAATCATTAGGAATGCATAGTTAATGTTGGTTATCATAAAACCGGGTTGAATAAGAAGGTCCAACCGTAAACCGGTTAACATGGCAACTGATGACAGAAAAGGGCCTCTAGTCTTTGCCAATCACCAGAAAAGCCGTTGAAGGAATAACCAATCATGATTGGCTTCATAGTGGAAGACACAGATATCTGATACAGTAGAAGATAGTCGTGAGTATTAGCGACGAGTGCATAATTATACGAGACCAAGAGCGACGGGAAAAGAAATGCCAAGAAAAGCCTTCTTGGAAGAGCAAAGAATGAGAGGGAAGAAGAAGCAAAAAGTTGGCGCGAGTATGGCTCAGTCATCGAAGAATTGACTAATACCAACATTTTGGGCCAGATTATCACATCCATTTTTGTAATTACAGAGTAATAACTCTTTTGGGATCTCAACCTCTATATTTCCATCATGAGGAAGTCTAATTTTGCCATCACCAACTTGTAACAATCAATTCGAGAATTTTTCTAATGATATGTTCCCATTATAATCACACGTGCATTTGCCGAGCAACCGCTACAAGGCACGAGAGGAATGAGGACCTATACTCTTCTGAGCAGAAAATCGAATTGTTCTTGTCATGAATTTCACGGAAAAAAAGAACATTTGAATTCCAAAACTATATTAGTAGCCTCGTAGTTGAGCATCAGGGCTAGTGAGAGGCACATAAAGAACAGAAGTTTCGGTTCGGATGGTGAGAGAACCATCGGAGTTCTTATCGACGACCTGTAAATCCTGAAACATGTTCCCGACTGGAATCACCATTCTCCCTCCTTCCTTCAACTGCTCCATCAGTGCTTCTGGAATCTCTTCTGCCGCTGCTCCCACGTGAATTGCATCATACGGACCACACTCCGCCCACCCTTGCCTTCCATCTGCGCACACAAACACACTTTCTCATATTATCCCTCTTATGCACGTCCCATAATATTGCTCTGACCCTACATTTGTCTCCCCTGGTGCTTCAAAACCAGTTAGAATCATTCAAAGTCTTGTCTTACATTGATATATTTCAGATTCATAGCAGTTCCAGAGTCATACCCCCACAATGCACCGATAGGGAACTGTCTTTCAATAGAGGAGCCGCTGCACTCTTCTGAATATTCTCTATTGAATAGGAAACCAATTCAGGAATATGCTCCACTCCCACCGCACGGCCTTCGGGTCTGACCATCAAGCCAAAGCATGCCGTCAGATACCCTGATCCTGCAAACAAGCCCACAGTTAGGAAATTGTAAATCCTGATTGTAGATAACAAGGCAAAAAGGGCAAACACTAAAATTGCTATCCAGTGCATCATCTGGGAGCCTTAAGAACCGTGAATTTGCGCCATCCAAAGCCCTAAGAACAACATCTTTAATTTAATTGCCTTTTCCGTCAAGTATCACAACCCATATTCCAGAATTATCCATCAGGACATTATATTTTGAACTGAAAAAGAAAATGCAATGAAGATACATGTTGTTTAACATATTGGATACCAGAGCCAACGTCCAGAGCACGCATTCCAGGCTGCAAGTTCTGCTCCAGCAACTGAAGGCAGTAGGCGTGCATATGAGGAGCAGATATAGTGGCGTTGTGCCCTATCGGCATCGGACTGTCAGCATAAGGTTGCATTCCCTCGGGAACAAAGAAGGCTCTGTCGATGGCCTCCATTACTTGGGCCACTTTATTTGATGTTATTACTCCATAACGCCGCAGATTCTCCACCATTGCCCTGTTCCTATCACTGCCACTCCCAGACCAGAGTTGCTGTAATGTTCGGGAAAAAGATATAGATTGAACGCTAATTTAATTTATAAACAGTGAAAAAAGAGGGCGCTTACAAAAATTAAAAGGGGAAATAAGCAATATTTGATTCCCCCTTTTGTAGGTTCTTTCCACCCTTATAAGAGAACACTGAGAAGAAGAGAAATGTCAACTTCATGATAAGGAAGGGGGGGGGGGGACTAGAGAGGCTGAATTTAAAGGGGAAAAAATCTAAAGAGACAGAAGCATTAATTGATCTAACTACAACTTCTGCAGGGGACTTAAATTTGGAATGATGGATTTAGATCCCTCCGCTGGATTGGTGGGCTGCCGAGTTATTAGGAATGCATAGTTAATGTTGGTTATCATAAAACCGGGTTGAATAAGAAGGCCCAAACGTCAACTAGTTTACATAGCAACTGATGATAGAAAAGGGCCTCAAGTCTATGCTAAACACCGGAAAAGCCGTTGAAGAAATAACCAATCATGATTGGCTTCACAGAGGAAGACACAGATATATCACAGAGCAGAAGATAGTCATGAGTACCAGCGAAGAGTGCATAATTATACGAGACCAAGAGCGACGGGAAAAAAAGAAATGCCAAGAAAAGCCTTCTTGGAAGAACAAAGAATGAAATGGAAGAAGAAGGAAAAGGGGAGAACGGAATACCTGCATGGCAGAGAAGAGAGAGAACTTAGGGTTAGGGAAAAGGGGACAGAAGGAGGAGAGGGTGGTGATAACGGGGAAGAAAGGGTGAGGCTGAAAGAAAAGGTGGCGGTGCCGGAATCGGAGTTGAAGGGGTAAGACAGGGCGGGCATAGGCATAACAGTAGCGGCAACCGTACGCTGACACGGGGGCGGTTCCCATTTCTGCTTCTATCCTCGCTTCTTCACATGCTCCCTCCTCCACCTCATATACTCCTCACACGTGTCCTCTCTTCTTTCCTTCCCCCGCCAGGCACCGTCCGTACATTCCTCTGCGTACTCATTCCCACGTTCATCGTTGCTTCATCTCAATTGTTTCAATTTTATTTATTTTTATGTTTAATTTTTATCCACAATAAAAATTTATCTTCCAGGTTATTTATATTTATAAAATATGGCCCTTCATTAATTTGTATATGTGACTGGTAAAATTATACGTACTTAACGTACGAACTAATTAAAAAGTTAATATTAGTCATATATATGTAAGATTTATTTTATATGTTTGTTATTTTTTTAAATTTAATCCTATGAATATTTTCTTAATAATAATCAAGTAGGAGAAAGATATAAGAAATTAAAGAAAATATGATGTTTTAAAAAAATCATATCAACTAATTTAGCTAATATTATCAATATATTCAAATTAGTTAATTAAGTTTTATATTAAATATGGGGTAATGCTCTCCGGCAACACCGGGAGGATTTCTTTTAATGATGATGTTTCATAACATTATTTACTACTCCCTCCGTTCCTTATTATAAGAGACATTTGATGCTTATATCATGTTTTCATATATAAGAGACACTTAAAATTTGTCTCTATTTTTTGTATTGATTTCCTATTTTATCCCTATTTATTTTGTCTCCAGCTCATACTCTCTCTCCCTCTCACTTTTCTTTCTTTTAATAATTTAATTGTTCTCTCACATACTTTCTCTCCTTATTAATGGAGGCATTGTTGAAAAAAATATTATACTTTTTACATATTAATTGTCCTTAACTAATTTTAATTATTTTTTTTATCAACGTAATTTGGTTATTTGTTTTCTATAATAAGAAAGCGAGGGAGTATTATGCAGAGAACATAAAATATTAATAGTTATATGCCGTTCAAATATTCTTGTCTCTGTATATTTCAAATTTCAAATTAAATAAAAAAGTAATAACTTTTCCCAAGCTAACTTAAAGTGATCACTTCGTGGATGACTAAAACTACAGTGTCAGGCAAAAAAAAAAAAAAAAAGGTGGAAAGAGAACTACAGCAACATTATCTGAATTCAGTTAAAGAAGTTTGTGTATTATTTGTCTTCAAATTACTTGCTTTGGTAAACATGAAAGTAACTGGGGGCAAAAAGAAAAGGAAAAATAATTAAGGTTGCCATATAGGAAAGAAGGACTATTGGCCCGCACTATGATTTCACCCCTTTTCTTCCCGTTTCTTCTTTTCCCCCACTTCCCATAAGTGATAATAAAATTGTAAATCAAACAATGAACTTTTTCTTTATTTAGTTTTTTCTTTTCTTTATGTTTCTCTTCCTTTTCAGTATTATACGCCCAAGCTCCAGGTGTCCGCCGCATATTACTGTAGGGGCACGGATCACGTCACTTGATTAAAAACTGTTCACCTTTTGTCTCTATTTGCCAATAAAGTAGAACTCTAATCCCGTCGTGTCCGACTGGTCGCAAACAGGAATGCAAGGCGCCTTCCCTACCATGTCATGGGCTCGATACCTGTGAGTGCACCTGGGATTAGTCTGACCGGAAGGCTGGGATACCCTGAGTTAGCGATACCATCCTACTCAAAAAAAGTAGAACTCTAATCCATATTACGTGGACCCACAATCCCTGATCTTTTCAAATAATTAATGTCTATTTGCAGGAGAGATGGAGGGGATCCATAAATTTACTCGGACGGAAGCATATGTATTTATGCTTGCTTCACTGATGAAGCACGATAACAGATTCAAAAATAGCACCTATAAACATGCACTGTAACTGCATAATCTTATCCAGATCAAGAGGCCACTTTTGCTTTTGTTTTATACCCAGTTGCAAGCAAGGTACATGTTCAATAAGACTTTATTCGCCGTCCTCTCATTATATAAGTCTTGCTCCTTAGGAGGCTACCTCACACACGCATGTACACATAAAAACCGAACACTACTTCTTATATTCTGTGTTCTGATAACATCAAGTGTTGAGGACGATATGGCAAGCAACCATCCTCACCAGGTGGCAACCATTCCCCCCGGTAAGATGCAACAAAGAAGACAACGTAGGATGTTTTCGACCTCGGACGACACTGCCATGATGAAGCAAGTTCAGGCCACTCATGCCCCAGATGGTCGTGAAGTTGATGTCAAGCCTGTTCTCCGAATCATAGAGGAAATCTTGATTAATGTCATTGCTCGTACCGTTGACGGTGATGTTGATGTATTCTTTTCCATTTTATGTTTTTGTGTCCATTGTTATCGTTCATGTGTTATAATCAAATAATAACCTAAGCATCTAGCTGTGTGGTTTATTTTGTTCGTAGGGGAAAAGAGAACATGCTGATTCTATGGAGAAGGCTGCTATTTTTGCTGAGTTGGACATGCTTGATACCTTATCCTTTGTCATATACAAAATTTCCTGTGAGGTTGTTTTCTTATGCCAAAATCTACAAAACTTTAACCAAGGTTCTATTTATTTATCACTGTCGTTGAGGATGAATGGATTGTCTAAAAAGACTGACAATTCCCCCTCCCCTTTTTCTCTTTTTGCGTTTCCTGAGGGCAAATAATTATACTTATCTTGACGACTACGGTAATTTCTTTAGGTGTGTATATATATACACATCCTTACACAAGCATTAATAGTTCTATAACTCGCCGTTCAGTGTGATAATAACGTTAATTTTCTACCTCTAAACTAATACAGAAGGGTGAAAAGTTGTTATTGTGAAAACACATTATATGACTATATATGTATATTGGCAGTTATCTTACCGGTGCCAAGGAGGTGGAGATGCACATACGACAACCATGGGGATCCTGAACATGCTCTCTAGCTATTCATGGCATGCAAAAGTGGTGCTAATTTTATCAGCCTTCGCTGTTAACTTTGGAGAATTTTGGCTCGTTGCTCAGTTGGGTGCTACAAATACACTTGCTAAATCTGTGGCACTGCTCAAGCAACTACCTGATCTCGTAGAGAACTATGCCAATCTGAAACAGCAATTTGATACATTGATCAAGCTAGTGAAGGCGATTCTGGATGTGACCAGATGCATCATTGAGTTCAAAGAGCTACCCTCTGAGTACATTTCAGAGGACACCCCTCCAATATCCGTTGCCAGTGCTCATATTCCTGTTGCAGCCTATTGGACCATCCGAAGTATTGTGGCTTGTTCTTCGCAGATTGCAAGTCTTGTAGGATCGAGGAACGAGTAAGTTTGGGAGCTTTTATGGTCCATTCCCTTACCTTAATCATGAAATGACTAATAAGCTCCGTTTTTTCCCTTTTTTTATGGTTATAATGATTGTAGGTATGGCTCAACCTCCTCGGAGGAATGGGAACTGTCAAGCTTGGCGCATAAGATGAGCAGTATATATGAGCATCTTCGGAATCAACTGGCCATTTGCTACCAATATATAGGTGAGAACATCAGAATTAGCATTTTAGTGCAAGAATCTTTAATCTAAATTAACGTAATATAATTTATAAGAATATCTATGGAAGTGCAGATGACAAGAGGCACATCGAGGCCTTTCAAAATTTGGTTCGTCTTTTTGAGACAGCCCACGTAGACAACATGAAAATTATCAGGGCATTGATATACGCCAAGGATGACCCACCCCCTCTTATAGATGGACCTACCAAAACAAGGGTTGGCTCTAAATTCTTATACTTTTACTATTCTACATATGCATCTTAAACGCCTATTATTGTTCTAAAACATTTCATTGGTTGAATTTCAGGTTAGTCTCGAGGTGCTGAGAAGGAAGCATGTGTTGCTGCTGATATCAGATCTTGATCTCTCACAAGAAGAGATCATAATACTTGATAACTTGTATAAAGATGCAAGAGCAAGGGTTGAGACACAGTACGAAATGGTGTGGATTCCAGTAGTGGACAGAGCGACCTGGAATGATTTGGCTCGACAGAAGTTTGAACATTTGCAAGCATTAATGCCATGGTACAGTGTGAGGGACCCCCTGATTATTGAATCATATGTGATAAGGTATATCAGAGAGGTATGGAATTTCATAAAGAGGGCTATCTTAGTGGCCCTTGATCCGAACGGCAGGCTATGCTCTCCCAATGCCCTCCACATGTACTGGATTTGGGGCAACCTGGCCTTTCCCTTCACTCGTGAGAAAGAAGAATCCTTGTGGAAGTCAGAAGTCTGGAGCCTTGAGCTGCTTGTTGATGGCATTGATCCTACAGTTCTAGAATGGGTAAGTCTCCATACACCTTCACCTGATGGCTTGAATTCGAAGAACAACCTTTTTACTGACGTATAGATATTAATGTGATTGAATTGTGTACCAGATCGCAGAGAGCAAATACATATGCCTGTATGGAGGTGAAGATCTTGAATGGATTCAAACATTCACAAGCACTACAATGAGTGTGGCGAGAGCTAACAACCTGTCATTGGAGATGGTTTATGTAGGAAAGAACAACGCCAAAGAGAGGATGTTGAGAATGATCAACACGTTTGCCACCAGAAAGTTCAGCTACTTCTGGCCGAACGTCACGTCCATATGGTTCTTCTGGACGAGATTGGAGAGCATGTTATACTCAAAACTACAGCACGGGAAAAAAGTGGAGGACGACCAGATTATGAGTGAAGTGATGTCGGTGCTGAGCTTCGACGGCAGCGATCAGGGGTGGACCATATTCTGCAGAGGAGCACATGAAATGGCGAAAGCTAAGGGAGAGACGGCACTAAAATGCCTGAAAGAGTTCGAGAATTGGAAGGAGAGTGCAACAAGAGATGGATTCATTCCGGCCATGAATGAATATCTGAAGCAGCTTCAGTCGCCACATCACTGTAATCGCCTCATACTTCCAGGCACCGCTGGGGGAATTCCAGAGCAGGTGGTGTGTGCTGAGTGTGGGCGTCCAATGGAGAGGTACTTCATGTATCGCTGTTGTGTGGAGTGAGAGGCAGAGAACATTATATAGAGGCGTTATGTATATGTGTGTGTCTATGTTGCTTGGCGAAATAATGTGTTTGGTTTGAGAGCTAGTGGGAGCTCTATTCTGGGCTTGAATCGTTGTGGTTGGTGTAGTTAGCTAGGAATGAATGATGAAGATGTGAAGTTAAAGAAGGATGATGTTTGCGTGTTTTGTTTTAAGGGCTCTAAGCGTTTGGTACTGAAATAAAATACCTGAAGTGTGCATTTTCACTATTTCCTCATTCTCTCTAAGCGCCTTCTTCTCGTCATCTATTTTAAATTTTGTTTAGAAATATTAAATCCACCCTTAATATATGTTCATTGTAGTTTCTTTCACACAAACTTTAAACCTGAGAGGATCCATTCTTGTTGAAGCCAAGTGGACAGTGTTCTTGCATCAGAAGGGGAATAAAACAGTATGACATCATCTTTTTTTTATTTTTGTTAAATCTTTTTCTTGTTAAACAGCTGAAATGGTGGTCCCGTACTTAATATAAGATTTCGTTTGATTTTTATTTTGATTCTAAATATAAGATTTCTATCCACTTGTCTCTCATATTTATGCATTTTTTTCTAAGATAGTTTTTCTAATAATAGTAGTTCTACTTAATATATTTGATTAGCAAGAATATTTTAAGAAATGTAACACCTATTTATTACAAATAACTAACTTAATTTTTTTAATCTATTTAAATTAGTCAACTAACTCTTATATTTAGAACCAAAGATAGTGTGTATATATATGTATATATAAGCAATAAATAGTAGAAGGCATGCTCCTTATAACCTGCCTTTGGATGGAAGGGCTAATTTCTTATAACACAATAAATTAATATTCAAATCTCTACTAAGAAAGTGTTCAAATTTAGTATTCCAGATGGGATTATGCTTCTCTAGTACTGGGAAAACGGCCCGGCCCTGCAGGGCTGCTTTTGTTGACTGATATGTGACCCAGTTCAGGGAAGAAATGAACTTTCCAAGTAATTATCTGTGTTTTGCATTTGCATCTTTTTTTCCTTTTAAAAAATAAATGAATATGGATGCCTTTTTTCCTTCTTTTTCTTTATTATTTAAAGTGGAAATACCACTGAGTGAAAAGCAAAACTATAAAGTGATCAACTATATAGCACTACGTATACTACTTGTAATGTAATAATCAATATTCTACCTCCACTCCTCAATATGAAACTAGTTAACTAATTTGAGACGATTGAAGAAATAAATTAAGTTAGTTATTTGTAATAAATAGACGTTATCTTTCTTAAAATATCATTGCTAATCAAATGTATTGACTAGAACTATCATTAGTAGAAAGATTATCTTAAAAAAATAATAAATATAATAGATAAAGTGGATTGGGGTCTCATATTTAAAACCAAAATAAAAATCAAATAAAATATTATATTATGTACTGGAAGTAGCATTATGGTTGATAGAGCAAGATGAATTAATCATGAATATCTTCGTCGTGTGATACGTACGGCAAAAAATGATTTCATATTTAATATTTTAATCGTCACGACAAAATTGTAAGAATTGTGAGTAGCAGCAAATGTTCATGAGTGAGAAACCTAGGCCCGCACTTCAGATTTCTGCGACCCATTTGGGTAAATTTTAGTTTGGTCTATTTTAGTAAATTGTTTTAGACTCGACACTAATACTATTAAAATTAGTTTGGTCTGGTTTAATTCGTGCAAAGACCAGTTAGATAACAACAAAGACTTGTTGACTTGAAGAGTTGAGTGAGGAAAGGAGCGTTGTGTTGACCCAACTAATTTCATTCTCAAACCAATCAAATTCATTGATCATTCCACCTCCATCAATTTTTTTGAACGCCACTTCTACGCCGGCCGTTCCATTTACGCCCTGCCGATGTGCTCAAAGAAAATAAATCAACTTGACTGTCTTACCCCCACGCCTCCCTTAAAAACCAATTTTTCCTAATGACAACGATATGGGGTCGTTAGCACATTCATATTGTCTTTTAATATATACTATCTTGTGAATTGAATTTAACTTTTTGGTGACTTGATTTTACACGTGAGACTTTAATTCTATTATTTATTATTTTGCTCTAAATTAATTTATATAAGTTAATATATAATATAGTGTTATATATGTTAAAAAAATTTTAAAGAGACCATATCATATCTATTATAATTAATTGATTTATTTAAATCTTTTAATTTATTCAAATTAGTTAAATTAGCTATTATATTACCAATCAAAGAGAATATTATTTACAACTATTAATTAGAGAGCTCCATATGTCTTTTTTTTTTTTTTAAAGTTCTTTGAGAATCTCCTTTTGGACATTTTTGTTTGGTATGCGTTACAAAAGAGCTTAACTTGGCTATGCATTGTTGTATTGGATTTAGCCATCCTTTGCTTAAAAAAATTTATAATTATCAAGAGGATTATTGATGATGACTCCTACTTCATAACCTTATGTTAAACACGTTTTCTCCTAGTAATTTTATCAAAAGGAAAAACAACCAACTTTAACCCTATTTTGGTGTAAAGAGAATGGAAGGAAAGGGAGAAGAGAAATTTTTTTTAATAAAGCTGGTTTAAAAAGTAAAAAAAGAATGACCATTTGTCTCATGCCAAACAGACCTTAAAGTGTCATAGATAGTGGCTTTACACAATGGCGTATTTTTGTGTTTTGCTCTAATTAGGGGTGAAAATAGGCCTGGCGATCTATTTCAAAACAGAAAAAAACTCAGACCTTTTTTATGGCCTATTTAACCTAATGGGCCAAGACTAGACTTTTTGAAAAGCTTATTAGGCCTATCAAGTCTAGTCTGGCCTGTTTTTTAATTTTATTTTTATTTTTTATTTTATACTTATATCTAGTTTTATTTTAAATTTTAATATATAATTATAACTTGTTTTTAATAATATTAACTGTAATTAAGATTTAAAATACTACTTATGACATTAAAATTTAAATATAAGATAATGATAAAAAATAATTATTATGTAGTATGTATATTTTATATTTTTTTATTAGCATATGTGTTTTGAAAATATTAAAATTAAATTTTTTTTAACAGGTTTAGGCTAGGTCAAGCCTTTATACAAGCCAGACTTAGGCAAGAACAAAAAGACTATTACAGGCCAGTGTGTTACTAAACAGGTCTGGTCTATTAAGGACGAAACCTGACTTGACCTTTTTCTACCTCTAACTCTAGTTTACATTTTATTGGGTAACTAAACAGGTCTGACCTATTAAGGACGAAGCCTGACTTGACCTGTTTCTAACCCTAACTCTAGTTTACATTTTATTGGGCACACAAATATCTAATCAAAATTACACATTATTCCCTTGGTCACCCTTAATTCTCTATATATGAACCACTACCACTGTCTATTCTTTAAAACAAGCTAGCTCTTATTTTACTTCGTTAATACTGCTGTAAAGTATTAGTCAATTTTTTAAAAAATATTGTAGCTATTATTATTTATTACCGCAAAATTTATCATAAGAAATGCACCATGCATCCTCAACTCAGAAACACAATGATTGAAAAAGTTATCGCTTCATTTTCTGGAATATTTTAAATGAAGTTGAAAAGTTAAAACAATAATAGATTATTGTTTTTTATTCAATTTTTTTAACCAAAAAAGTACAACACACGCTTTAAGTTGAAGGTAATAAAATCAAAACCTTTCCCAAAAAAAAAAATCAATGTAACCTACACACAACTCACGAACCAGAAAGTAAATTAAACTATACTACGACACCAACCACTAAAAACACAAAAAACAGCAAAACATTATCTATTAAGGAAAGCCTGTCCATTAGCCAATGCCTTTCTCGCTGAAATAATGGGGTGTGTGATCTTAAGAACCCTTTTTAATTTGTTAAAATGCCAACATAGAAAATGTGGGTACCATCACTCATTAATTATGGAACATTTTCTTACAAAACAAACATCAAATGCAAGATAATCTGTAGCTCTAATTTCCCCATGATATATGCTAGTATATTCATATAGTTGGCTTGTTTGGATTAATATTAATATAAATGTGATTTTAATAAATCAAAATTAAGATAATGTTATGAATATAATAATATCTTCGTGGATGTCCATATATCTCCTATAATCTCTAATATCTCATATTATCTCTCTATCCCACAATTATCTCATATTATTATGTAATCTGTAGATTCTATCAAATGTGTAAAGCTGTATCTATAAGTAAAGGCCATGTATAATGTATTGAACATATCTGAATGGAATGAGAAATACTCTCTCTTGTTGATCCTCTCTTCCTCTGTATGATTCTTCTCTTTATTTCTTCTTTATTTATGACAGATAAAAGTTAATTAGGGTAATATGTCATTTATATTTGGATAAACTTTTCTGAAAAAAAATTAATTTTTAAAAAAGTTTGAATAAATAATATATTAAAAATTTAATTTCAGAAAATTCAAATTTAAAAAACTAGAAGTCAGAAGTCAGAAGTTAAAAAAAATTACTTAACTTTAGTTTCACTTTTAAGGTCGCCGTAGGAAAGAAGGACTATTGGCCGCCGGGACTGAGATTTTGCTCCCTGTTCTTTATTTAGTTTTTTTTTCTCCATGTTTCTCTTCCTTTTCAGTATTATATCCCCAAGCTCCAGGTGTCCGCTGCATATTATTGAAGGGGCATGCACCACGCAACCTGAATAAAAACTGTTCACCTTTTGTCTCTATTTAAATAGGAGGAGTTGCCATGGAACTTGGAGGATGTAAACTTTGCTACACAAGAAAAATGAGTGCAGGGAATGGTATTGATATCATCGTTGATAGAATATGAAAAAAGAATGTGGTGGAGGTTAAAAGGTTTGAGAACAGAATAATATCTTTAAAAATAATTGTTGGTAAGGATACTATCAATATTATTAGTACCTATGCACCTCAGGTTGTGACAGAGGCACATCTTAAAGATAAGTTTTTGAAAGATATGGAGGGGTTGGTTCAAAACATACCACTTGAAGAAAAAAAATTTGATCGGTGAGGATCTTAATGGACATGTTGGTAAGGAAGCAGGACAATTTGGTGGGGCTCATGGTGGTTTTGATTTTGGGGAGCTTAACAATAGAAGACAATATATTCTTGACTTTTCTCTTACATATAATCTCAAAATTGTCGACACTTGTTTTAAGAAGTGAGAGGAGCATTTAATCACATACAAGAGT